GCCATCTGTATTGTTTTAAAACCTCTATAACATGACTAGAGTCCCTAATGAAAGATGGTAACTGCATGACCGATGGTTGAAGAAAATGGTCTATATATTTTGACAGGCCATTAGTAAAACTATTGGTACAGGCCATTATGGGACACCCAGGAGGATGAGTAAACGACTTATAGGGGTTGCTACACACTGCGGGGAGTAAAAATGATTTTGTTTTTTTAATAACTCCGTTGTTGTAAGAAGTATCGACCAATGTTTTCAGTGCTTTTTGGAAGACAGGTAGAGGGTCCTCTTTCAATTTTTGGTAGGTGCTAACATTAGACAGGAGACGAATGGACTCTTTAATGTAGTCTGTTTTATGTTGGACCACTAGGCTACCACCCTTGTCTGCTTGCCTAATAATAATGTTTTTCAGGGCTTTTAGTTGCAAACTAGTCATGTTCCGGCTGACTGGTGGGACATCACATAGAGTAAGAAGATCCCTATAAACTACCTGGTAGAAGGTTTCGATATAGGGCCCCTTGGATTGTACTGAGTAGAATGAAGATTTAAGTTTGAAGCGGGTAAATGTAATATCAGGATTGAGGGAAATGGGAGGATCCTCCGTACCCTGGGAATGGCTCTCAGACCATAATTCCTCTAAAACCCAGGTGAGCTTTGTCCTCCTCCTGAAAAGAAGAATCTATAGATGGAGTCTGTAATTCAGTAGCTAACTGGGGATCATTGGAATAATGTCATTTTATCGTGAGGAATCGAATAAATCAATTTAAACCTTTAAATAGTCTAAATTTATTGGGGCCTATTGTAGGTGAAAAACTTATATCCTTGTGAAGTAAGGATAACTCAACATCCAAAAAAATATGAGGAGAGAGTAAAGATTTTTATTGTACTGGCAAGTTCAGTTCTCTCTTTCTTCTTTGCCTGATGTTGTTTACCGCTACGTCTACCTCTATTTCTTCTTTTGAAGTCCCCATTGGGAAGGTCTCTAAAAAAAAAAAAAACAAACAAAAAAAAAAAACAAAAACAAAAAAAAAACAAAAAAAAACAACAACACAGGGATGGGGGGGGGGGGTTTATCATTTTCAATAGATATTGGGGTTGTGGTACCACCTGTCATGAAGGAATCCAAATCTTTAGAGAGTGGACCATAGCGATTATGAGTAGGTATGGCAAAGGAGTTCTTAGATGGATCTATGATATTCTGTGTGATGATAGATGTGGCATTTGACGGAGAGGTGGAGTTGCTAGGTTCTGTCTCCTTTATGGGAGGAAGGTTGGTGGACTCATGTGATTTACTATGGCAACAGTGGCTTCTCATTACTGATGGCAGTTTTCATTATCTCCTTTGGGGCATGTCTGTGCGCTTATGACTGCAGTATTCATCCTAATTTGGAAAGACATGGTTGGTGGAGAGGTTATGCCTTTATGCTTTATACTAGAAACATGGGTAGGAGACTGCATCTAACAGTCGCTGTTTGTTCCTGAGGTTTCACTGGTACCTTGTCCATGACTTGCAGACACAAAAAAATATTTAGAATCCCTATAGAAAAACTAATAGGATTTTTAAAAAGGTACCACACCAAAAAGTTCTAATAAACCTTTTACTTATACAAACATTAAAAAAAGAGATTACAATACAAAACCTAATACGTAGGGTGCTATTTTTGCCAACTACAGTTACATATGTTTGCTAGTGGTTGATAACCTTACCCCCCAGATGGTCAAAAGGGGTATCACGTGTAGACACAGCTGACGCATTTCGCTGAACAAAGCCCGCTTCCTCAGGGACAGCTGCCATGTAATTCTAAGGTTACAGAACACATAAGCGATATGAGCATCATCCAAAACCATTTATAACAATAAGCAAAATCACATATTTGTAAACCGGAATATTACCTGTCATAGATGCTCATATTACATACAAATAAAAGAAGAGCTCCAGTCCCCCCCCCCCCCCCCCAAAAAAAAAAAAAGTTTAATTCAGCAGCTATAGTATTTGTAGCTGCTGACTTTAAATATAAGGACGCTTACCTGTCCAGGGATCTAGTGATGTCCTCACCTGAGACAATTTTTCAATTGGCTTTGGATGCAGGCACTGGCATCTTAGGTAAAGGAAGCCAGCAGTGAAGCCTTCCAGCTTTCTGCTGTGCATGCACGAGTTGCACTGTGCTTTGTGAATGGTCCCGCAGGTTTCTTGGACCCCTGATATGTTCCAGAAGGCTGTGGGGGGGGGGGGGGGACTGAATGATGCCACGGCATTCTGACTGAAAGTGGGAGAGATTACCTGTCAACCCCTCAACCTCCCCCCCCAAACGGAAAAGTAAAAAATGGGGCAGTGGGGGGTAGGATGCAAACAAGCAGAATTTCCCCTTTTGGGTGAAGTTCTGCTTTAATTCCAGTGTTGTGGAGTCTTGGTTATGGCAGATGTAGGGAACCACACTGTACTGATAGCTGAAGTCATATATATTACATTCAAAAAGGACATATATAACCCCTGAAAAAAGGAGGGAAAGATGAATGTACGGGAGGAAAAAAAAGTATTATATGTGGAATTACAAATAAAATCTCATGTTATCCCCTATATAGTCTCATACTCAAAATGACCCCAAATACTAAAATTATTAAGATGGGGAGCTACCTCATGGATTTAATCCAAAGTGCACAAACTAATGAGACATCCCATTAGTAAAAAGATATAATATCGATAAGTCTATATGTGTATTCGTTAACCACTCGCCCTCCAGAGGATTTACCCCTGGTCATTACCAGGCCTCTTTTTGCTACTCTGTGCTGCACTAATTCAACTAATTGAGCGGTCATGCAATGCTGTACACAAACAAAATTTATGTCCTTTTTTTCACACAAATATAGCTTTCTTTTGGTGGTATTTGATCACCTGAAAAAACACAAAACTACGGTATAATTTCTCATTTCTGTCATAAAAAAAATATCCAAAAAAACTAAAATTTCATCATAAATTTAGGCCAAAAATATATTCTGCTACATGTTTTTGGTTAAAAAAAATCCCAATAAGTGTATATTGATTGCTTTGTGTGAATGTTATAGCATCTACAAACTATGGTATAGATAATGGAATTTACACAGCTTTTACTTTCGGACTGCCCATCACATTTCATGAGGTGGTAAAATACCAGGATAGTACAAACACCCCCAAATTACCCCTTTTCGGAAAGTAGACACCCTAAGCTAGCTGCTGAGAGGCATATTGAGTCCATGGAAGATTTATTTGTTTTCCACAAGTTTTTGGAAAATGACAACTTTTTTTTTTTTTTTTTTACATAAAGTTGTCACTTATATTTCAATATATTTATTAAGAATTTTTAGAAACATTATACAGAAAGACAGGAGATGCAACTCACCAACATGACGAGTTGCAAAACAAATAAAATAGTAAATTCAAGTACAATGTGTAGCAACAGAATCGACCAATAAAGCGTAATGAGGAATACACTGGTAGCACAAACAAAGTTTGATCAATTATGAGCAAATTGCTCCATAAACAAGGTGGTATGAATAATATTAAAATAATAAACAAAAATATAGAGAACAAAAAAACGATGAAAGAACTGAAGAAAATACAGAATAAAACCCATAAAAAAAAAAAAAAAAAAAATAAGAGAGAGGTCCAGCCAAGAGTCCGTTAAATAGCAGGTATATACCGAATCCATGGATCCCAAGTGCTCTCAAATTTAGAAGTATTGTTGTTAAGTATACTAGTAAGTTTATCATTAATCATAATCCAATTAAGTTTCTGCTTAACTAATTCCAAAGAAATTGTCGACTGTTTCCAACGTTTGGCTACCGTAATTCTCGCCGTTAACAGGATATAAAGAATCAGTTTAACCGATTTCTTAGGAATATCAGTGGGCAATAAATGAAATAGAGGTATTTCAGGAGATCGACGAATATTAACCCCCGTTACCAAATAACGGAAATTAAATAAATGGATCCAAAACCTAGTCACCACAGGGCATTTCCACCATATATGGAGCAGAGTACCCTCTTGTCCACAATGTCGAAAACAGCTAGGTGACACAGAAAGGTACATTTTAGCAAGACGTGTAGGAACCAGATACCACCGAAGAAGCATTTTTGTAGTTAGATTCAATGAGTGTAGTGTTAATCGAGATTTTAGATAGAGCATCAGCCGTATTCCGCCAAGTGTCCAGCTCTAGAGAAATATTTAAATCCCTTTCCCAATGTATCATATAAGAGAGCTTAATATTTGGATCAAGGGAAGCATAAAGCTCCAGAGAGGAGGGAGGAGCCTGACCATGACTTGGAGTGGGAGCTCGATGTGAGAGCTCCCGGCTTCCAAACACCAGTGTCCTGCCAGGAAAGACTTACTGGAAAGAGAGGAGGTTTGCCTGGTGGGGTGTGGGTCCCGCAGGCTTGGTGGAGTACCGGTGAGCGGAGCCGCGTGGACCGTGGACCCCTGAAGGTGGCAGTCATCACGGCGGGACTGCCTGCTCTCTCGGTCTGGTGCTGTGTGTTCCCCAAAGCTCAGTGGAAGCTGGGCAATCAGGTGATCCACCGCAAGGGAGCCCTGGGAGGTAGAGGAGCCGGCGTTTCTTGGAGTGAGGGAGACGCCGGCTCTCTCCTCTCGCACATGGGACTGCGGTGGCCAGGGACCCATGGAAACGGGCTGAGAGAGTCCCCCTTGCAGTGTGTCTACTGTGTGGTGGGAATATCGAGGACAACATTCCCCAGAGGAGAGTAACTGAAGCTGCCTCACTCAGAGGGAAGGAAAAGTGGATCTCAGTGCGGGAAATGTTTCTCAGATAAGTCCAGTCCTTGCAAACATCAGAGATCTCACCCAGGGGAGAAGTAATCCTGTTCTGAGTGCTGGGAAAGATTTTTCATGTAAGTTCTATCTATACACACATCAGAGATGTCACATGGGGAAGCAGCCATATCCCTGTTCGGAGTGCGGGTAATGTTTTTCACAGAAGTCCAGCTTGCATATACATCAGAGATCTCACATGTGGCAGAAGCCATATTCCTGTCCTGAGTGCGGGAAATGTTTTTCAGCCCAGTCTTTACACACACTAGAGATTTTACATAGGGGAAAAGCCATATGCCTGTCCTGAGTGCGGAAAATACCTCTCAGTGAAGTACAATCTTTACATACATCAAAGATCTCACACGGGGGGAGAAGCTGCACTCATGTCTTGAGTGCGGGAAATGTCTTTCAGAGAAGTCCCGTCTTCATACACATCAGAGATCTCATACGGAGGAAAAGCTGGATTGGGGACAAGAGGGTGAGTGAGAGTGGAAAGAGTACTGTGATTAATATACTGCATGGGAATTGAAGTGTATGAACTGAACTGTGTGTTTAAACTGAGGAGGGGTTCACCCAGGGGGCCTTAGAGAAAAAAGTGGAAAGAGGACAATTTAAAACAGATAAAGACCAAGAAGAAGTGGACCCTGGCAGATGAGTTCGGGAGCGGGGGGGGGGGGGGGGGGGGGAGAAAAAGGAAGAGAAGAACCGAGAGGGTGATATCTCTGAAAGACAATAATTTTGATATTAAATAAATAACAGACCCCCCCCCCCATAACCAGAACTGCGGAAAATTTAAACAGTCCCTGAAAGTATGAAAAATAAAGTATTAAAGGGAGGAGGGCCTAAGGCTTCCTAAACATGGTCAATTAAAAAATATATACCCTCACAGGAGAAACAGACTCCAGAGAGACAACAGGGAATAAGTGTAAGAGGTGAGAGGGAAAACAACGGAGAATGTCTGGACTATCCCTGGGAATAGCCAACAGTAGTCAACATATAGAAGAAGTGGATGTGGATGTGGATAATGTAGAACAAGAGGAGAGGTCACAAATGCCTACTAAAACAGAAATGTTTAAAGGGCTTGAAAGATCCTTAAAACAAGAAATAGCAAAATTACATAAAGATCTGGGGCAAATATTATCAAGGATGGAGGAGACGGAAGAAAAACTGGATAAACATGCCCAAATTATACAGAAATTCGAAAAACAGATGATGGAAATGAGAAAAGAACAAAAATCTGCTATATAAAATGGAAGACCAGGAGAATAGGGATAGGAGATGTAACCTAAGTATAAGCGGTCTTCCAGAGATCTCCCAAGGAGAGGATTTGATGGGAATCATAACGAAGATGCTGAATACTGTAATAGATAGAACTATACCCGTCTCTCAAAATGGATAGAGTCTATAGAATAGGAAAACATCAACAAGAAGGTAGAAAGGAATATACAAGAGATGTAATAGTGCAATTCCATAATTATCAGGATAAAGAAGAGCTTTGGAAGAAGATAAAAGGAAGAGCAATAATAAAATATGGGGAAATATACATATATTTGCTGATATAGCAGCGGAAAGATTAATAAGGAGAACCTTGAAACCATTATTAGAACAGATGAGAAAGCAGAATGTTCGATATAGCTGGGGGTTTCCAGCGTGTTTAATCGAATGGGAAAATGGTCGTTCAGCAAGACTGAGATTCCCCGAAGATCTGAGAGACTTTTGTGAGAGACTTGATATACAGAGAATAAATATCCCTGGTTGAGAGGATGAAGAAGGAGAAATGTGGGCTATGGAAAAAGAAGGGTGGCAGGCAGCTATAAGCAGGAATAGAGTAGGAATAGTGTGGGGGGGGGGGGGGGGATAGGATGGGAGGGAGGGGTTTTTTTTTCCTCTCCCTCCTTTTCTGCTTCTCTCTTATGATCCTTGAGTTTCCTAGAGCATGGCAGGACACTGAGGATGAGACACTCTCATTGGTGGAAAGTTCGTGGTCAGAGCTTCACCTTAAAAGCTGAATCAAAGGTGGGGTTAGGACCACAAATGATTCATAGGCAAAAAGTAAGCCTAAAGGAGGTTGGGGAGGAAGGGGGGTGGGGGGAAGGGAGGGAGGGGGGAGGAGTGGAGGGATGCACGGGGGGGAGGGTATGGGGAGGGGTAGGTATTGCAAGACTCTGTGATATAGTAGGAGATATATTAATTTGGAGAAGTCCTAGAGAACGAAGGGAAAGATATTGGACAGGAGAGGAGGAGAGGATAGGAGAATAAGGGAAAAATGGAAGAGATACACTTCGTAACTAATAATGTTAATGGATTAAATAGCCCCGGGAAGAGATTTAGGATATTTAAAGAGATTCAGCATAGATTGTCTTCAGTGGTTTTCTTACAGGAGACACATTTGGGGCGAGAAACAAATGTGAAATTAAATTCTAGATATTATCCATTGTGGTTCTATGCAGATTCCCCAATTAGAAGAGCTAAGGGAGTGGCAATAGGTTTTGCAAAAAATATAAGGTTTAAGTTAGAAGACAGACTGGTACATCCCGAAGGGAGATTTCTGTTTCTTAAAGGAAAACTACAAGAAATAGAATGTACATTAGCAAATATGTATTGCTTGCCCGAACAAGAAACTGGAGATATTCCTAAAAAATACTCTGAAAAAATTAATGGATTTCAAAAACGGGAGGCTAATCATGGCAGGAGATTTCAATCTCTGTATGGACCCTCAGATAGACATGACGTCTCCTGTGCAGAGAAAGGAAAGTAGATCTCTGAGATCCTTGAAAAAAATGATATTCCGATGCCAACTTGTGGATATATGGAGAATTAAGAACGTGAAGGACAGAGATTATACGTTTTAGTCCCATGCACATGAGATGTATTCAAGATTGGACTATATATTGCTGGAACATCGACTTGAGTCATTGGTCAAAGTAAAAATAGAAGTGATGTCAATATCAGACCATGCTCTGGTCACAAAGCAATTATGAGGAAAGGAGCCGAAAGGGGGAAAAGTATGGAAGTTGAATGAGACACTCCTCCAGGATCAAGAGACGGATCAAAAAATGTAAAAAGAAATAGAGCAATTTTTTGAGGAAAATGATTCTGGGGAAGTGACTGTAGCAACGGTGTGGAAGGCTCATAAGGCCTATATTAGAGGAATCCTGATAGCAATTGGAGCAAAGAAGAAGAGGGAAAGAAGAGAAAAATGAATGCGCTTCTTGGGAAACTCTGATCTTGAGCAGACACATAAATATAGAGTAACAAAAGAGATTATGCAGAGGGTAATAAAAGAGAAGAATTAAATAATTTGCTGGAAGAAAATAAAAGAAGAGTATTTAATAAAATAAGTGAGAGATATAGATGGGGAGATAGACCAGGAAAGTATTTAATGAGGGCTCAGAGAAAAAAAAAATCCAGGAACTATATAGAGAAAATAAGAGATCCCAAAGGAGAATTAGTGTATTCAACTAAAGATATAGCTAAAGTGTTTAAAGAATACTATAATAATCTATATTATACCCCAAAGTTCTATAAAGATGGAATAGGAAAAATAGAAAAAAGACAGTCATACTTAAAAAATGCGGGAGTACCAAAAATAAGTGAGGAACAATTAAAAACCCTTGAATTAGCAATAACCCAGGAAGAAATACAACTAGCACTAAAAAGTACTGCAGCTGGGAAAAAAACCAGGTCTAGATGGATATACTGTGAGGTATTATAAAAAATATAAAGAATTATTAGTACCCAAATTGAGGATATATATGAATGCATTGGGGGGAAAGATGGAAATGAGGAGGGAATCCCTACAAGCACATGTAGTTCTCATACATAAGGAAGGTAAAGATGCTACTCACTGTTCAAGTTATAGACCGATTTCCTTATTGAACACAGATACTAAATTATATGCAAAAGTTCTGGCAAAACAGGTTGAAAGATCTAATGCTGGAATGCCAGGTAGAGAGGGTAGAGACAATGGACTGAGATCTTTGTTCCTCATACAAAAAAGTAGGAAATAGAAAACCCCTGCGGTGGTACTCTCGATTGCTGCTGAAAAGGCATTCGATAGAGTAGATTGGGGATATATGATGGATAAATAAGAAGAAACAGCAGTGAGCGCTAATCCTGAAAGCGGCTAGGCACTCTAAGCAACCAATAAAACTTAAAAGCAATAACATAAAAATAGTGCAGCGCTGAAAATAATGACAAAATGACAAAAAAGTAGTCCAATAAAAGTCTATGACATATAAACGTATCCAGTGTCAGATGTGGATTCAGAATAGGTGATCCGTGTGGAAATGGCTGGAAAACGCACTCACCAGAAGTAAGACACATAAACGCAGTGTGTATATAAAACTCAAGGATCTTCAATCCAGAGGGAAGTAAAGCTGATCCGGTTACAGGAATGGTGAATCCCTCCTCCGCAGATGCAGCAACCGATCTTCCTTAACACGATTAGATGTAGAATTCCAAGACCAAGGTTCTGCAAGCAAAAGCTCCTCAAGGGAGTTTTAGGGAAGGACACCCATAGTGAAGTAGGTAATAAAAGGCAGCTTTATTCACAATAATGATATCCAATTCAAAGCAGGCAGGTATCATACAGATGTGTCAGCAAGACAACTAACCCTGATACTTTGAATAGTGGCCGCCGGGCCTCCACGTGGCACCGGCGGCGTAGCGTCTCGACGTCCAGGCTCCTCCTAAAGGAGGAGCCTGGACGTCGAGACGCTACGCCGCCGGTGCCACGTGGAGGCCCGGCGGCCACTATTCAAAGTATCAGGGTTAGTTGTCTTGCTGACACATCTGTATGATACCTGCCTGCTTTGAATTGGATATCATTATTGTGAATAAAGCTGCCTTTTATTACCTACTTCACTATGGGTGTCCTTCCCTAAAACTCCCTTGAGGAGCTTTTGCTTGCAGAAATACCTTGGTCTTGGAATTCTACATCTAATCGTGTTAAGGAAGATCGGTTGCTGCATCTGCGGAGGAGGGATTCACCATTCCTGTAACCGGATCAGCTTTACTTCCCTCTGGATTGAAGATCCTTGAGTTTTATATACACACTGCGTTTATGTGTCTTACTTCTGGTGAGTGCGTTTTCCAGCCATTTCCACACGGATCACCTATTCTGAATCCACATCTGACACTGGATACGTTTATATGTCATAGACTTTTATTGGACTACTTTTTTGTCATTTTGTCATTATTTTCAGCGCTGCACTATTTTTATGATATATGATGGATAGATTGGAAGTATTGGGGATAGGACATAGAATGAGAGAATGGATAAGGAAACTATATAGTCATCCCTCTGCAGCAATCATAGTTAACGGGGAATTATCAGAGTATTTTGGGATGCAAAATGGAACAAGACAAGGATGCCCCGTCTCCACTTCTATATGTTTTGCCATTGGAGTCTCTATTGACTACAATAAGGAATAATATAGATATAAAGAGAATATGGATAGGAGACACAGAGCATAAGGTGGCAGCTTATGCAGATGATATGCTGTTTTATGTGGGAAACCCAAGGATAACATTGCCAAATTTAATGAGATCATTGAAAGAGTATGGGGGAGAAATTTAAAAATTAATCCAACACAAACAGAGATTTTAAATATAAACCTTCCAAATGGAGAGAAAAATAGGATACAGGAGGAATTTCCCTTTGTTTGGAGAGAAAAAGAATTAAAATATTTAGGAATAAAATTAACTGTATCCTCCAAGAACCTATATAAATTGAATTATATCCCATTGTTAAATGAGATCAAGGATGAACTAAGGAAATTAGGAGGGGGAACCCTGTCATGGATAGGTCGAATAAATCTGATAAAAATAGTGATTGGACCCAAAAAGGAGCCTGACCATGGCTTGGAGCGGGAGCTCGATGTAAGGGCTCCTGGCTCCCAAGCACCTCCAGTGTCCTGTCGAGAAGGGGAGAGATGTGCGGGAAGCCCTGGAGAGACTAGCCGGGGAGAGGAGGGGCCTGCCTGGCATGGACCGAGGACCTCCAGGAGTGGTGGCCATCGCGGGGGTCCTCCTGTGCTCTCGGCCCGACGCTGTGTGTTCACCGGAGCTCAGTGGACGCGGGCGGTCAGGTGATCTGCCGCAAGGGAGCTCTGGGAGGCAGAGGAGCTGGCCGGTGTTTCTTGGAGCAAGGGAGACGCTGGCTCTCTTCCTCCTGCACACAGGACCGTGGTAGCTGGAGACATGCGGAAAGGGGCTGGGTGAACACCCCCTGCAATCCACTCATTGTGTGAGAGGAATGTCGAGTGTAATGTTCCCCAGAAGAGAGTACCTGGAGCCGCCTCACCCCTCACTTGGAGTAAAGGAAGAGATGTCCTACAGTGCGGGAAAGTCTCTCAGAGAAGTTCAATCTCTATAGAAACCAGAGATCTCATATGGGGGAGAAGTATTCCTGTTTCGAGTACGGGAAATGTTTTTTATGTAAGTCCTATTTTTATATATATCAGTGATAATTTATCATGTACAGCGCTGAGCAAACCGTTGGCGCTATATAAATACTGTATAATAATAATAATAATACAAGAGGGAGCAGCCATACCCTTGTTCAGAGTGCAGGAAATGTTTTTCATAGAAGTCCAGCCTGCATATATATCAGAGACCTCACATGAGGAAGATGCTATATCCCTGTTCTAAGTGCAGGAAATGTTTTCTCAGACAAAACTAGACTTTACATATATCAGAGATCTAACACAGGTGAAAAGCCATATGTCTGTCCTGAGTACGGGAAATACTTTTCAGTGAAGCCTAGTCTTCACACACACATCAGAGCTATTACACGGAGGAGAAGTTTTATACCTGTTTGGAGTGCGGGAAATGTTTTTGAGAAAAGCCCTTTTCTTCATATATGACAGAGATCTCATATGGGGGAAAAGCCGTATTGGGGATAAGAGGGTGAGTGAGAGAGTGGCAAAAGTACTGAGATTAATATATTGCATGGGAACTGAACTGTATGTATTGAACTATATGTTTAAACTGAGGAGGGGTTCACCCAGGGGGTCTTAGAGTAAAATCAGAAGGAGGACAATGTAAAACAGATAAAGACCTAGAAGAAGAGGACCCGGGTAGATCAGTTCAGGAGTGGGGGGAGAGGAAAAAAGGAAGAAAAGAACTGAGAGAGGGATACCCATGGAAGACAACAAATTTTGATATCAAATAAAACATAGACCTCCCCCCCAAAACCAGAACTGTGGAAAATTGAAATAGTTCCTGACAGCATGAAAAACAAAGTATCAAAGGGAGGAGGGCCTAAGGCTTCCTAAACAGGGTCAATTAAAAAATACATACCCTCACAGGAGAAACAGACTCCAGAGAGACAACAGGGAATAAGTGTAAGAGGTGAGAGGGAAAACAGCGGGGAATGTTCCAGACTATCCCTGGGAATAGCTAACAGTAGTCAACATATGGAAGAAGTGGATATGGATAAAGTAGAAGAACAAGAGGAGAGCTCACAGATGCCTACTAAAGCAGAAATAGCAGAAATGTTTAAAGGACTTGAAAGATCCCTAAAACAGGAACTGGCGAAATTACACAAAGATTTGGGGCAAATATTATCAAGGGTGGAGGATACGGAATAAAAACTAGATAAACATGCCCAAATTATACAGAAATTAGAAAAACGGGTGATGGAAATGAGAAAAGAACAAAGCAATCTGTTATATAAATTGGAAGACCAGGAGAATAGGGATAGGAGATGCAATCTAAGGATACAAGGCTTTCCAGAGATCTCCCAAGGAGAAGATTTGATGGGAATAATAATGAGAATGCTGAATACTATAATGGATAGAACTATAACAGAGCCTCTCAAAATGGAGGGAGTATATAGAATAGGAAAATACATCCAAGAAGATAGAAAGGAAAAACCAAGAGATGTAATAGTGCAATTCCATAATTTTTCGGATAAAGAAGAGCTTTGGAAGAAGATAAAAAGGAAGAGCAATAATAAAATAAGGAGAAATAAATATACAGATCTTTGCTGATTTAGCAGTGGAAACATTAATAAGGAGAACTTTGAAACCGTTACTGGAACAGATGAGAAAACAGAATGTTCGATATAGCTGGGGGTTTCCAGCGTGTTTGATCGGATGGAGAAATGGACATTCAGCAAGACTGAGATTCCCCGAAGATCTGAGGGACTCTTGTGAGAGACTTGATATACAGAAAATAAATATCTCTGGTTGGTAGGAAGAAGTAGGAGAAATGTGGGCTACGGAAAATGAGGGGAGGCAAGTAGCTCTAAGGAGAAATAGAGAGTAGGAATAGTAAAGAGGAATAAGATGGGAGGGGGGGGGGGGTTCTCTCCCTTTTTTCTGTCTCTCCCTCCATTCTCTCTCTTATGATCTTTGAAATTTACTAGAGTATGGCAGGACACGGAGGATGAGACACGCTTATTGAGGAAAAGTTCATGGTCAGAGCTTTACCTTAAAAGCTGAATCAAAGGTGGGGTTAGGACCACAAATGATTCAGAGGCAAAATCTAAGCCTAAAGGGAGATGGGGGGGGGGAGGGGAGGGGGAGAGGAGTGGGAGGGAGGAGGGGTGGAGGAGGGATGGGAGGGTGGGTATGGGGAGGGGATAGGTAGTTTAAGACTCTGCAAAATGGTGGGAGACACATCAGTCTGGAGAAATCCTAGAGATCAAAAGGGGAAGATGTGAAGGAAAGAGGAAGAGAAGAGATGGGGAAGATAGAGGTGTGGAGAGAAGAATGGAAGAGATTCACTTTGTGACTTATAATGTTAAAGGGTTAAATAGCCCTGGGAAGAGATTTGGGATTTTTAAAGAAATTCAACATAGATTTTCTTCAGTGGTTTTTTTTTTTTTTTTTTTTTACAGGAGACATATTTGGTGCAAGAATGAAATGTGAAATTAAATTCCAGATATTATCCAATGTGGTTTTATGCAGATTTCCCAATTAAATGTGTCAAGGGAGTGGCAATAGGTTTTGTGAAAAAATATAAGGTTTAAGCTGGAAGACAGATTGGTAGATCCGGAAGGGAGATTTCTGTTTCTGAAGGGAAAATTACAGGAAATAGACTTCACTAGCAAATATTTATTGCCCGAATAAGAAACCGGAGGTATTCCTAAAAAATACTCTGAGGAAGTTAATGAATTTAAAAAAAAGGCAATTTAATTGTGGCAGGTGATTTCAATCTCTGCATGGATCCCCAGATGGATATGACATCCCCTGTGCAGAGAGATGGTAGTAGGTCTCTGAAATCCTTGAAAAAAAATGATATACCAATGTCAACTTGTAGACATATGGAGAATTAGGCACATGAAGGACAGAGACTATACATTTTATTCTTATGCACAAGAGATGTATTCAAGACTGGATTATATATTGCTGGACCATCGACTTATCGAGTAAAAATAGACGTGATGTCAATATCGGACCATGCCCCTGTCACAATGCAATTATTATGGAGAAATGAGCAGATCGGGGGGAAAATTATAGAGGTTAAATGAGACACTTCTCCTGGATTCAGAGGTGGATCAAAGAATAAAAAAAGAAATAGAGCAATTTTTTTAGGAAAATGATTCTGGGGAAGTGTCCATAGCAACAGTGTGGGAGGCTCATAAGGCCTATAGTAGAGGAATCCTGATAGCAATTGGAGCAAAAAAGAAAAAAAAAAAGAGAAAAAATAAACATGCTTCTTAGTGAACTCTATGAGTTAGAGCAGATACATGAACATAAAGTAACAAAAGAGATGCAGAGGGTAATAAATAAAAGAGAAGAATTAAATAAATTTCTGGGAGAAGATAAGAGTGTTCAATAAAATGATAAGTGAGAGATGCAGATGGGGAGATAGACCAGGAAAGTATTTAATGAGGGCTCAGAGAAAAAAAAAAAAAAACTAGGAACTATATAGAGAAAATAAGAGACCACAAAGGAGAATTAATGTATTCAACTAAAAGATATAGCTAAAGTGTTTAAAGAATATTATAATAAGCTATATAATATTATCCCCCACAGCTCCACAAGTAAAGATGAAGTAGGAAAAATAGAAAAAAGACAGACATACTTAAAAAAGGCAGGATTACCAAAATTAAGTGAGGAGCAATTAAAATCCCTAGAATCAGCAATAAAGCAGGAGGAAATACACTTAGCATTAAAGAGCACTATAGCTGGGAAAAGTCCAGGACCTGATGGATATACCGTGAGATATTATAAAAAAATATGAAGAATTATTAGTACCTAAACTGATATATATGAATGCATTGGGAGGAGAGATGGAAATGAGAAGGGGAATCCCTACAAGCCCATGTAGTTCTCATACATAAGGAAGGTAAAGATGATACTCACTGTTCAAGTTACAGACTGATTTCCTTATTAAACACAGATACCAAACTATCATAGATGGAAATGAATCCACAATATAAAGTGATTCTAAAAGGTGAGAGAAGTATAAAACAATTTAGAGAATCTATTACAGTGGTACATAAGTATCATACACAAATGAGTAATGTGAATTACCATAAACAGAACCAGAAAAAATTCCCATTGTAGAAGTGAAAAACAAGGATATATTGGTAATGGAGTTGTAGTCCAGAGTAGTTAGTGTAAAAGTCTTAATAGATTGCGTTCAAGCATAAATAATTCCTTTAAATGGGCCCCTTTAGATTCTTTACATTTTTTATACTCCATTTTGTATACTTATCTCACCTTTAGAATCAGTTTATATTGTGGATTCATTTCCGTCTATGATGGTCACTCAGGAAGATATTTACCCACCATTTATGTATCATGGCACACTCACTAAGAAGGTAATGAGTTGAATATCTACAATTTAACCAGTCTGATAATGTGCATCCTACAAGGTTGACATAAAGATGATAAGCCTTTGATTCCTCTGAATTCATCATTATTCATTATCTATTTCCTAGGATTCCATCCATACATATTGTGATGTTCATGAAGGAACAGCAAAAGAAAAACGAATTCACTATGTTATACAGTATGGAATTTTTCATTTGATGACTACAGAATGGAAACTCTACTGCCTCACATCGATCATTTTTGCCCACACAACCATTTTGAAGATGCCGAACGGTTCACCATTTATGTGCCATGATACATAAATGGTGGGTAAATATCTCCCTGGACCCCACTGACCTTAACAACCTTAGTCTACAATCGCCTAAGCTCCCACCTCACTGACAACAACCTCCTCAATCCACTACAGTCTGGCTTCCGTCCCCTACACTCCACCGAAACCGCCCTACTCAAAATCACTAATTACCTGCTAACCGCCAAAGCTAATGGCCATTACTAAATCCTCCTACTCCTCGACCTTCGACACAGTTGACCACCCCCTCCTCCTTAATAAACTACACTCCCTTGGCATCAGAGACTCCGCTCTCTCCTGGCTCTCCTCCTATCTATCCCAACGCTCCTTCAGGGTTACCTATAATGCTACCACCTCCCCCTCTCTCTCCCCCTTGGCTCTGTCCTCAGGCCCCTTCTCTTCTCCATCTACACCTCCTCCCTCGGCAAACTGATACACTCCCACGGCTTCAACTATCACCTCTATGCCAATGACACGCAAATTTACCTCTCCACCCCTCACCACACCCCTTCAGTCTCCGCCCGTATCGCCCACCTACTGAACGACAGACTGGATGTCGCTCCATTTCCTCAAATTGAACCTTTCCAAAACTGAGCTCCTAATTTTCCCCCCAGCCCGCGTCCCCCCCATCCTCTCCATCACGACCAACAGCGCCACCATCAGTCCCACCCCGCAAGCCAAATTCCTAGGTGTCACTCTAGACTCAAACCTGTCCTTCCAACCCCATGTCCAATCGTTGGCAAACTCATGCAGGCTCCACCTTCGCAACATCTCCAAAATACGTACG